ATGCAAGTAAACAAACATTCGCACCCTTCACTCCACCTCGCTTATTGACATTAATGCACTCTAGGTTATCTAACAAAAACATGGCTTGAGGCTTTGCGCATAGCAATATTATATATTCATATTTTTTTAAAACCGTATATAGTTTGAATTAAGTAAACATACATAAATGAAACTACAACACGGGAAATCAATCGCGTAAAATAAACATTCCACTTAATATCTTTCAAAGGAGTAGTGCAAAGAGGAAATTTGCGAGTTTAACTGCAGAAGGGTCCACAGAATGTGATTGGTTGTCCCTCTGTTTCACGGCATGAACCTTTCAGTCATTGCGCATCACTGACGCGTTATATATCATTCACGGGAAAACGCTGATGATACTTCCTGATTATTCCTGATATATCCATATTCATTTTAATATCATGCTATTCTCAAATGTTGATGTATTGAAAGGTATGCATGTTTCAGGTGTAGTGTGTGTACTTTCAATGTTAGATGATATCAACTTGTTTACCGTGTTAGTTTAACTGCACATATGTTTTGTGTGTAATATAGACAATAATACTGACTGTCTCTGTTGTCAACATATATCGACAGCAGCAAATCTCATCAGAGGTGGTCCTGTACTCTTAGTTGATATCATCGTCAAAATCTGGACAGCGCCCCTCTTGTCAGGTCATATGAACTTTCAACATGGAGGCCTGTGCATTCTCAATATAAACGAGCATTCCCAGCATCATTTCTTCCTCAAAAACGAACCTAAACGAGCAGATCCGATTGTCGTGGGATTGCCCTCGCAGCAAGTAAGTATGGCTTCCTCGAGGGGCAAATGATGAAATGTCTCCTCGTCAGGCTCACAATAAGCAACAGGGGCGGATACAGCTTTTTGAGAAAGGGGGGGTGCACACTATTGAGAAAAGGGAGGGTGCACACTTCATTTTCACCCGAGTTTCAATGGTCATTTAATAAACTTTCAGGACAAAAGGGGGGGGTGCGCACCCCTGCACCCCCCCTCTGGATCCGCCTGTGAGCAAAAGGTAAGTTATGCAATGCAAGATTCTAAGTGCAGTACATTGAATGCTGTCTTTTGAACACGTGTCATGTGGCTGCCTTAGTCGGTTAATGATCACAGGACCGCTGATAAGTAATTTGTCCACGTCCCTATTATGAGTTCTGACTCGATCTCCGACGGGCAAACGACGACATTGTTTTAAAGCACCGCATGAACTACCTATCTGACAGTATATATTTGCATATTTCTTCGTTATGGCTGACTATCTACCATCATTTCTGTGTTCATGTTTAGTAACTGCATGTGCCAAATTTGATTTGCGTTACTTTGTCTTCACTGCGAACATCCGCGTTACAATTTGTCTTCAGCAGCCCATGCTTGTCCTTAGAGGCAAGGCCCGAAACCAGGTGGTCAGGCTCGCTGATTTGGTTCGTGCATTTCATTCTGCTTCAAACCTCGTTTCACGGATTGGGCCCATTCCATCTGGCACCATTTACCATTCCGAAATTTCCCGGTTTGTGAATATCAAACCTCCTGTATTTGACAACATTGCCGTCTCGTTTGATACATTCGTCACTTCTTTCCGTAACCTCCATATTCGGCTTGGCCCGGAATACCACAAGTTGGTCACATCGTGGTGGCCTTAAAACATTTGAATAATACAGTTCAAAATTTGAGATAGGGAATTGGAATGTGGGCTGTTTGGCGCAACTGGCAGTAGGTGACGTCTACAACTTGTTAAAATGGTACTAGGCCTGTTACCATTATAGGTGATCCGGTCCCTCATCTTGCAATATTGGCCAAAGAGACGATGGCTGTTAACGCCTTCGAAATAATAATAATTATAATAATAATAATAATGCTAATTTTTGCGCCTAGAATCCAACACGATGCTGCTCTCTGGCGTTACATTATTACCCTGACGGAATTGTACTTTCAAAGCTGCTACTAAAGAAGAAATGTTCACACTCTTTCAAAATGGTGAGATAAAAATATGTTAACCATCAAATCTAATTTTAGTTGTCTTTTGACAATCTGGCGCTCATAGATAAAGGGAATATACTCGAAATTTAGTCGGCGGTATTAACAATTTTGAAAAGTTTGTTTTGTTGCGATCAGACAGGCCCCATACCAACATAGTAAATTGTAGGTCAACACACTTTGAATAAGTGTTTGATAACAACTGTCATTACGGTTTTGTCAATGCCTTGACAGTCATAAGGTTCTGAATCAGAAATTAGGCCAGTAACAGTGGCGTCATCTGCGAATTTCACAGTAAACAAGTCATTTAATGACAAGTAACAGTCATTGGTATACAAAACAGAAGAATACGGATGAAAGAACACAGTCCTGTGGAGCTCCAGTAGAGGTTGAGAGTAAAGAAGATTGATAGCCATTGACACTGACATACTGAGTTCTATGTACCCCTGAATTCCTTTAACCCATCTAATAATGTATGTCGGCTTCGCGCGACCGTATAGGTCCGTACATCCGCTTCTCAGGTACCCATTTTGAACAGCTGGGTGGACTGAGTGCAATGTGGACGAAGTGCCTTGCCCAGGAACACAACACAGTATGAGACCCAGGTCACAAATTTTGGTGTCTCCACCGGGCCTTTTGCGTGAGAGGCCAGCGCGCTAACCACTACACTACCGTGCTCCACAAAGACAATATTTTCTTTCATTGATGGCTTCTTTCAGACAGAAACACTATCCTTCCACGAAAGTTGTGCCAAACCAATTTAAAAGGCGTTAAAAAGACCTTTGTAAATTTCAATGGTACTTATTTGTTTGAAACTGTTCTCGTATTCTAGGTATAACAATATTCACGAGAAATAATAGTAAACATAGTCGCGGTGGGGTAGCCTAGTGGTTAAAGCGTTCGTTCGTCACGCCGAAGACCCGGGTTCGATACCCCACATGGGCACAAACTCACTCACTATTTGCGCAAACAGTTTGACGTCTTTCAAATACACCCCCTAATTGTCCTGTGCAACAAAAATTCTTATTATAAACTTGTCAGAAAACTGAGCGAATATAATATCTATTCATCTGAATCAAAGAAAGTCCCTATTGTCAGTGAACACGCCACGTTGATATGGGGCCAATACACCGGCTCCAAGCTTTGGCGCGAGTTGACGTCAAACAAGGTAGCCGTGAAACAGACTTAAGTCACTTTGGATCAACTCTTGATGTTGTGACTGAGGGTACATGTCGTATGTGTGAAGTTTACGCGAAATACTGTGCAGAGTTTAGGCAATAACGATTATCTCCCTTTGACCATACCTCGATCGCAGGAGTGAGAAATTTTAAACGTCAACCTTATGTGCCCGACCGAAACAGCTACGCACAGCTTCCGATCCCACTGAAGCATTGAAGAACATGGCTTGTGAGCTGGGGGCAGCAGGATGACGGTGAAAGCCCATAGAAATTAGATGCGAATCATGTTTTTGTGGTTTCAACCTTAAATGTTTCCATTTTGTACATGCAAAATACACAAGAATTAGGTTCTCATCTCGTTCCATGTGCATCACTGTGCAAGAACATGTTCCTACATATTTGTTTTCAATTTCTTGTATGCAAATAATTAATCTTGACTTGAATGCTCAAAACTTGATTGCTTAAGTTAAGATTGAAGCTGTATGCTTTGAGGTATATTCCAGTTGCTAACGCCGCTCTCCACTTAGTTCTCGATGCTCAAGAGGCAAATAAAAAGGTCTGCCTAGTCCCATCTCTTTTTCTCCTCACAGACCAACGACATTTAGCTAGAAACTTGCAGAGTGCAAATGTTAAATAACAAACGCTTCATATCTCCATGTGCATTTACATTTGTAAATGATATAACCTACTTTGGAGTTTGACCCACTGTTTATTCATCAGACTGGACCAGATGATCCAGTGATTGGTGATTGATGTGGTAATTGTAGCACACCAGCTGAGTACAATGAAACAAAACTACCATGTTCATCCCATCCATTTCTTCATGACAAGCATAGGCTGCAGACACCTGGTTCACTGCAGAGACACTTGTAATTAGTTGATTACTACATGTCACATTATCCATGGAAGAAGACTCAGAGTGATGCAAAGTGATGACCCAACAAACAAACATCACATGATACCCAGTCCTGTCAACAGCTCCTCTTTTTGGATACAAAAACTTGTGTTCGGCAAACCATCTTCTGTCTGTTTGCACAGTCCTTAAAAGTTTCATCTGGATCAATCAGACCATAGGCGGATCCAGAGGGGGGGTGCAGGGGTGCGCACCCCCCCCCCTTTTGTGCTGAAAGTTTGTTAAATGACCATTGAAACTCGGGTAAAAGTGAAGTGTGCACCCCCCCTTTCTCAAAAAGCTGTATCCGCTCCTGAATCAGACAGACCAAGATTGATACGACTGTCCAATGCCACCTTATCATACTTGAAATCAACCAAAATACTAAGCCCAACAGCCTGGTCCATTCAGCCTGGTATTAAAAAGCCACTCAAGAAGATGTGACCAGCTAATTTGAGTCAGTATATCACTGTACCTCAGTCTCATCAAAGTTCATCCTGTACTAAACAGCTCTACCATGTCTCAAGGAGCCTGTTATCCATGGATGTTACACCACTGTAAGAAATGAATTCACAAAGTCTCCATCCTCATTTCATGTTCAATACAGTCCCAGTTCAAGGCAAGGCAGTAAATGATACATTCTAACATAAATATATTTTCTCTAAAGTGATTTAGCTTCATTTCAGTTGTGATTCACTGGTACATTTTTGCTTAGCATGGTAAAACCATGCCACTAACAAGAACACAGAGGTGGGAACCCAGGAAAGGGCTTTACACATTTTACCCATCTGGTAAATTGACCCAAGGTGTTTCATGAGATGAGCAATCAATGTACATGTTATGCAATAATGAACTTACAATCATCAACAATTGTAGCCTGTTGCCTGTCAACATCAAGAAAATATTTTCATGACTTCATAAAAAAATAACAAACAGAATCAACAGGCAAATAAATTTTACTAGAGCATGGGAGTTCCAGAGTGGGCTGACAATACTGAGTCAACGCAATACAACATGAAATAGATAACCCAGACTCAACTGTAGAATAGCTGAACTATAGCACATCCCTTCCCACCAGGGTCACAGCCACCATTGAAACTAGGCTAAACTACCAGCTGGAAAACATTTGGGACTATCCTAACTTGTCTCTAACATACATAGATTTTCTGTGACAACACCCAGAGGTTATGCAAACAGAAACTGAAGATCTATTGGTAACCTCCTCACAATGTGAATGTCTGCATTAACCAGAAGATTAAAAGAACACTCTTGGACTATAGAGTAGACTTTGAAAACAACCTCCTGAACAGTATTGAGATCACACGTTTAAATAGATAATTTACTAGTGAATAGGTTATCAATAGATTTGCGTATTTGTGCCAGTACCTCTGACAATATATTATCCTTCCCCTTCTGTCTGCCTACATCAACAGGTATTAGAATGGAGAGAGTCCTCAACCAGCTCCACTTCTTGGTAGATTGAGTCACAAGATTCATACTATGTTCACACAACAGTGTCTGCCTTGAGTGTCAACAAGGATTCTACTTCCTCCCTAACAACAGCTACAAACAACAACAATAATGGACACAATATCTTGTACAAGAGTAAGCAGACAACTTAGACACAGCAAGAACAACAACTAAGAACTAGGTAGCACTTTCTGACAGTTTTGGCACAGGTAACCTCTCAGTGTGATTGTCTATCTCTGTGGAGTCACAGGACTAACAGCAATCTAGCCTTCTGACACTTGCATGTAAGAAATTGTCAAGAGGTTGTGTCATTTAATACTAATTCATATAATGACCTCCGATCAAATCAGAGCATCATTCTTATCCCACCAAGATGCTTCACTCACAGGTAGACCTAACTCTTACAATGACAAATCCCAAATAAACGCACTGTGTTAGAGTGTCTCTCACTGAAAGGGTTAACTACAACCAACTACACTACATAATCATGTGCATAGTAGGTGAACATGGACAATACTTCTATATGTAAACCACCGGTATGCAAGGGCAACTCAACAGACAACTGTAGACATGGTATGAAAATTGGACCTGACACAAACAGGATGGAATAATGAGTACTCAAGAGACCTGGATAAAATAACAGATATGCTTGATATTTTCGAATTACCTTCACGATGATACTATCATTATAAACGTTGAGCCCGAGCCAAATAACTCCCTCACATCACTGTACTATTTAAAATATAGTTCTGATTAACAATTTGAACCCTTCCTGCGGTGGAGATAATGCATTGACAAGGAGAAATCTTGATAAATTATCACTACCGAATGCTGCTGCAAATAACTGTACTTGTAGCCGGTGGCAATGGCTTGCATGATTGGATAGCAATGTGACTTGTAACCCTGGAGGGGAAGGAGGTGCATGGTGTTCAACATACCGTTACATCACAATGCAGTCACACAATGCTAGGATAAGAAAACATATCAAAAGTATGGAGGTTGTCAGCGACGACAGGACACAAGTAATGGACCACTGGCAATCATCACACAGGTGGTAGGGTTGAGGGAGAGAGAAATTAATTCTATGTACAGTGGGAGGGAGGGAGAAGGGACAGAGAGACTATCTGTACATGAGATCTCATGCTACAATACAGCACCCTAGGGTGTGAGCTTGACTGCCAGACTTGGAATACCATCTGCTCTCCATGCACTGGTTCACATCACTGTACAAAAGGAACATCACAATCAAGTGAAAGTATCACAATCTTTTGTTTTCACCTGTGTTCAGTAACCAAGTACACTGTACTCCCTTACAACCCAAGACATTTAGGTTCCATACATCTGCAATTCAAGATCACATCCAAGGGTCGCATCAAAGCTACATATCAAGACATATTTTCTCATAAAAACTTTCACTGTCATCAACAATCAGATTATAATGATTTAATGAACCTGCATGGTACATTACTTAAGTCTCTCACATATGGATGTCACTAAATCCCCCAACAGTCTTGATATTTCTTGCCAAAGTAAAAGCACTGGGCACACACCAGTCAGTTGCCCCTCTCCATATTCAATTGTGATCATGCCCATTATAGCGACTGCTCTGTAAGTCTCACAGACAGCACAAACTGATAGTCCCTATCGACTTGAAAATTACTTTTTCCAAGAAGCCTTTTCCTCTGTAGAAGTGGCACTATTGTAGCCATTTAATGAAAGGGTGAATGAAAGATATACCTTTATATTTTTCATATTAAATACCTTTATACAGTACCGTTTCTGTAACAGATGCAGAATGAATGTCTTTTAATTTACTCTATACACTATGATCATCTGGAAAGTGTCACCGGGCAGATGAAATCTACTCAGATTGGTGTGTGTAGTAATGGGTCTGTGTCCACACTAGCTCCACAAAGTTGTCAGATCTGATCAGTTTCATTAAGTACACAAATCCTCTCATGTACTTATATACTTGTAGAACTTGATGATTCTTGTAAACCAGTTGACACTTATTTGACTGATTTCATTACTACACACAGTGTGTAACAACACTATTAAATTTGTTGAAAAGATGATATATTTTACAACTAGTTGTACGATCATATGGCGGACTTTCAGATTTATATCCAACATGTTGCCCATCTCTAACATTAGCCCAGTAGAATACTCACAAAGAGCTCAAAAGTGGAACGTTATCATTTCATGACTCATACATAAATAAGGCAGATTTATTCTGCCTCAGTTGTAAGGTTTTCAGTTCTTTAACGATATTCAAGTATTAACTAAAAATATCTCATATTACTTGCTCTAAGGCAGAGATACAGCCAATGCAATGTTAAACTCTGATTCACTTACTGATACAATAAACTGATCTTTATTTCAATGATACCATGCACTAATAATTGTGACTGTTGAATTTTGGTCTCGCAAAAAATTCCTGCAATTATCTTGTACCGACCATACTGCAAATATCTGAACATCAACCACAAGTTGGCAGCATAGGAAAATTAAGTTTGTGTTTTGATAATTGAGCAACTCTCTGTTATTTAACATTGTCTATTACTGGAAGAACTGATGTAGCAAGATGAACATATCATTTACTCACTACGAAATGCATCAAAAATACTTCTGATAGTTGTCCTGTATGTCAAACAAAATTTGTCAGAATTTCATAACAGCCAACGCTCCTTTCAAATGATTCTAATGGGTAAATCTAAAATATATCAATAAAGTAACAAACTGACTTCAAATATAATAACATTTTCAACAAGTGTAAACATGCATCACTTGATCAACATAAAATTACTTAGGTGGTGAAGGTAAACTGACACATTTTGATAAAATTTTTCACTTCTTCAGCAATATACAAGTCAAATTTGAGGCAGATTTGCCAACAGCATGCAATTTCAGAATCGGATAAACCTTTGAGAAGTCATTCGTAACTGAATGAACTTTCTTAACACTTGTGTAATATGTTGAGCCATAAAAACAGTTGCTAAAACTGAAGTAACTGCATGATGATCAAGGTGATAGCATACTTACTACAAATAGATTATAAAATCACTCTTTGTTAATCTTAACAGGTGATAAGAGCAGCCATCCCTGCCATCATAAACGATCAATACTCTGCACCAATACAAAGCGTAATTTAGAAAAATAATGACAAGAAATGTCACTCTTATAACTTTTACATACTGTTTCAGTACACATTTACCCTCAAAATGAAAATGATTAAATTTAGAACAACAATTGATGTCAAAAATCCATGTTATTTACTTTCAACAGTCTCAGCTGTTTCAGCATGTCAAAGAGGCTTTAAAAAAGAAATGAATATTGTAAAATGTTTAAAGGGTGTGTATTCGATGTTCTCCCTATTGCTATCAGCAGTTCTATTCTCAGATTTTACCATGACACTGACGGTTAGGAACACAAGTGTAAGTGACAGGAACATTGCAAGTAAATATTGCACCAAGAAGTCACAAGTCCGGACATACATTGTGCAAACCAACAAGAGATGAAGGCATAAAGTAATAAACATACTCTAACTCCACGTCTCCACAGTCTCCAACCAGCTGCGGTGTCTCATCATGATCCCTTCATATGAAGAGTTATGACAGACTCAAGTGCAACAGATAGATACAAAAGTGCTTTTGACAGGCAGCTTTCAAACTTTATGAAAAAACCTCCCTTTCCAAGATTCAACTGATGGCCAAGCCATAGAAAATTAGAATTTATTAATTTAGATATTGATTGCTTCAGACTGTGGAGAGATGTTCACATTTGTTCCTACCTGACTTCAACCCTGAACATGGGGCCAGCAAAACAACAAACTTGTCATAAAATTTCACAAACACAATATGAACTGATATCGAATATTCCACATTGGTTGGCTGGCTCAACCTGACCCATGTCTGAGAGCAGAGTTAGATAAATAAGTGTATTTGGTTGACAAGGAATGAAACACATGGCTAATTATGTAGCCCAAGACTGAGGTACATGTGGCACATGACAGCAGGGGCTGTGCAAGATAGCATGCTTCAGTGTGGAGATCCTAGCAGCTTCCTATTCCAGACTGGTGTGATATAACAACATGATGCTCAACAGTCAACTATACATATGACATACAACAAAGTCTCCAGTTGGCTACATTAACATACACATCATCACAACATTAAGTGCAAACTCATAGTCAGGACTGATTTTGCTCATGGAATAGTAACTTCTATCTGAACATATATGTATTTGCGTCCACTGAACAAAATCCGAATAATGTTTTAGAATGATTTTCAGATGATTCTAGATACCCTTTTCTGAACTTATGGCCTAAAATATACAATTGGTTCAAAAGAATTCAACATATCCAACTGCTGAGCACTTCACACATTAAAAACAACCAAGAAATCTGGCTTGAACTTCCTGGTAACAGAAAGGTATATCTTGCACAGTCCCTGTAAAGTGCCCTACAACTGACTACATAACTGGTGCGTACATTGGTGTGAGTTTCACTGGGAGATTGTAACAACAGACTACAGGAATGACTTGGTGCTATAATATATGTCTTATGGATGTACCAGGTGTAATTTTGTCTACTACTATCAACACACAATGTGCCAATTCTAGGAAGCTGATTCTTGTGACTCTATGCTCATCCAACACCCAATCCCCATCAGTTGTTATCTTCAATGGTCTACAAGTAATTCATCTCCATCACAAAGTAATGTGCCTCATAAGCCAGTTACTACACAGAAGACTGACAAATGCATGAAACACACAATCTTTCATTCTAATGACATCGCGTCTCAGTAGTTGTTTTACATTTATATGTACTTGAAATGTGTCATCCGATTCTTTAGATCTCAGCTGATCTCTGAATAAAACACTTTTAAAAATTCCTATAAAAATAATGATCTTTCTTTTATCTTAATGAGACCTGATTCGCTCATGTCTCGCAGATGTTGACCTTGTCTAGTGACCTTGACCTGTACACAATCCCAATCATGGTGACACGTCAAGGTGAGGCAGCTTCTCCTGTATTTCACTATATTGCTAAAACATGGTGTTTACAACTGTGATATGGTAAAATTTGATTGTTGTTGTTCCCCGACTGATGGTTGTCTGTACGCAGGTACGAAATTGCCGGCCGGCAGTGCAGACGATAGTGCCTGTGGCAGTGGCAGATGATGTGAAACTAGAGATAGGCACCCTGTGACAACAACGATGACGACGACATTGCTCTATCAGATCTCCAGGTCGAGGTGAACTCACACGCCCAACAGGGTCAGATCACTCTCTACAACAAAAGGTGAAAAGATGATTACAATGTGATTTGGGCAAAAAAGATGTTTTGTTAGAATTTCAATATCATCTTGTCTGGTAAGGAGCTATTGCAAGCTATACCACTGAAGGACTGAGCTGCCAGTTGATGATTAAACAGCAATCTGACAACCTCCTGAGCAACCAACTATGCCACTGATGTAAAGCATACAAACAAAATACCACTCACACCTAGCTTCCTTCCTGAAAATCGACTCTTCACAGAGTTATCACTAACAATGTATGGTGGACAAATCTACCACTAGGTTCTCACAATGTAACTGATATTTTTCTGAAAGTACACACAACAGCCAGCTAGGACTGTATTCGCATCACCTTGGTTTGTTGGGCTGTTGGGTTGGGGGCTGCTGACCAGTGGCTCTCTGCCCAAACTGTAAAGGCTGTAGCTGTGGGCGATATGTCTGCCCATACATTCGCATGTCACCTGAAGTAGGGAGGAAACAAGTTACAAGTCTATCATGGTACCATTTCCATCCTTCCTAATACAAATGACTTAGAGTGAGTGAGGAGTATAGTTTTACGCCACTTTCAGCAATATTCCAGCAATATCACGGTAGGGGTGTCCAGAAATGGGCTTCACACATTGTACCCATGTGGGACATCGAACCATGGTCTTTGGCGTGACGACCGAACGCTTTAACCACTTGGCTACCTCACCGCCCCCAAACAACTTAGAAATATCTGTGGCTCCAGTAACTATCTGCCTTTGATAGGTACACCCAGCAGTCATACATCTTACATTAACTGATATTTGGAATTAAGAGACACAAAAGAGAAAATAAGGCCTTGGTCCTACTCAGGACAATTACACTACAAACATAAATGAATAGCTGATGCTATTGACACTTAATCTTCCAAATGGCTTTGTAAGAAGACACTTTTCATAATGGAAGGAATATACCTTCCAACAAGAAGCAACTGCAACAAGAAGACAAAGTCATCAATATCCCCCGCAATGGTAAAATACTCTTCATGAATATGTCTACGAATTATGATTATGTCAAATGTTTTGGCGTGTATATATCAAAGTGGAAGGAGAATATTCAAAGGTTTTTAAGTTCTGCTCCAGAAAGGAGCACTACCACCAAATTCAATCGAAGTCAAGCTTGTTTCCATGTCAACGCAAAAAAAATATTTTATTCAGAAATCCCAAACTACCCAAAGTCACCAGTAAACCACCAGATTTATGTTTGTGCCAAGTTTGGTGAAAAAATAGTGAATGGTATAAAATTCTGCTTGGGAAAAGACAAATGTGCACAGAAGGACGCATTGGAGGATTCCATTTTAATACTCCCGCAAAACGTGTTGTGGGGGATAAAAAAATACATTTTATTAACAGTCAAGAATGGGGGATCTCTACACTGTGACTTACCCGTTCCTAGTTGCTGTGGTCTCACACTGGACCCTGATGCCATGTGACCAGTAATATGACTGAGGTTGCCTGGCAACACGGTGGGAGTGGGTGCCGTGTCCTTGCTGCCATCACCTCCAACACTCTGCTTCTGGAAACAGGTGTTGATAGAGTATCCCTTGAACCCCATTGCATGCTGCCCGATACTACCTGCTTGTGGCGGGATGTTCCCCGCAGGGAGGCCTACTTGCATACTTGGTCTAACGATGGAGAATGGCTGTTGGGTTGAAGGGCCTGGTGTAGCATGTGACTGAACACCGGCAATTTGCACGACCTGATTGACAGGCCTGATGGCTGCTGCTGCCTGCTGGTGAAGCTGGGGGTAGTAGGTTCCATACTGTGGCGAGGTGGCAGTACTGTGCCCACCACCAGACCCGCTTGCTTGCTGCTGAAAGTTCACAGGTTGGGCCATGTTTATTGCTATGCTAGGGTTTGGTATGTTGTTACCTTGACTAGGGGGTGTAGTGGGTCTAATTGTGGAGCCAGTTGGCCCAGTAAAGCTGAAGCCCAGCTGAGGAGTAGTGGAGGATACACTATAGAACACTGGGGATTGGGCCTGTTGCCCGTAGCTGCTCTGCTGCTGCTGTTGCTGGCTATAGGGGCTGTATTGTATAGAGTATGAGGGAACATTACTGTCCTGGTGAGGACCCGTGAACACTCCAGTCTGTGACACATTACTAGATGCTGACATGTCTGCATTTTGAGAAGCACTCTGTTGTACCACAACATTTGGATAGTTTGTTGTTGGGTAACCTTGAACATAGGCCTGTGAGTACTGTCCTATATGGGGCACACTTGCTGGATGTGGCTGTGGCTGACTATCCATAGAACTCTGACTCTGCATCTGATATGGCACCTGATACGTGTAGCGCACTGGTTGGCCTGTCACACCTTGTGGCCCAGGGTAGTATGTAGGCTGTAACACACAGATGGTAGATAAGTCTTATTTGCTTTTAAGGCCATATGACCCATAATTTAAATACAGGAGATGTACATATACATAAAGGTCAAAATTTCTGGTTGATCTTGATCATAAACTGGGCATTTAAAAATCAGTTTCAGATACTGAACATATTGGACATATAAGTTTTATGTTTGTTGTTTAAAACCACGTTCAGCAATATTCCAGCAGTCTGTAAATGATCAAGTGTGTACCAGACAAGCCAGTGATTTACTATCTATGCAGCCGAGACATAACGACTTGTATCTTCTAAGTAAGCCTGACCACCACCTAATCCTGTTAGTCACTTACACCAAGATGATTATAGGCATTAACAACTGCCATTGAATTTCAGTTATATTTCTAGTGTAATGAGAGACTGAGATATGACGTGGATACACTGGAAAATGAAGCACAAAGTCTGCTATGTTGAGAGGTATAAACTTAAATAAATCCAGATGACATGTCAGGGATCACAGATCTACAGAGAATAGTTCTTCTCACAATGTCCAAGAACTCATTTCTTAGAAACATATGAAATGGATAGATGATAAATTTTCATTCAAGTTGTCAATGTGTGTCCCTCATCTTACAGATATAGAGGCTGAAACAGAATGACAACATAATACTCAATGGACAAACGATGATGACATCTAAGGGAGATAAACTTGTGGATTTTACCTTTTAACTCTTAAAGATTTACCTAAAGGATGACATAAAATAGCAGAAAGGATTGCCACTGGGTGGTGGAAGAACATTCAGAAGTCAAAACAATTCCTGCAATATGAGCACTGGAATTGGACAACTCAAAGATCACATTAAAGGCACAATGTCACACATTTTTGACAATATTTTGGCCTATATTTTATATATTGGGGGCATATGCACTCACTTTAGCTTCCTATAAGTTGTGCGTAGGATATTCGTAAAGCGCATTCCAAGGGACATAACTCTATGGGGTTCGTTTGACATAATATTCGGCCAGTAGAGGGCACAAGAGTTGATCTAATGCAACGTTGCATTTATTCATTTGAACTTTTTAATTAAATATTGTAATCTAAAAACGTAATTTTGGGGGAAATAAATTATATGGTAGCTTCCCTGAGGGCTGATAGTTAGTATTATTGAGAGAGATGCATTTGATTTTGAGAGATGCATTTGTATTTGGCTGCCAACCTCCCTTTGTTTATGTTTGGATGAGAAAGCCAATTATTATAAGTGCCATCGGCTCCCTAAAAATGTTAATGCAGATTTATGCTGATTTAAAAATTGACACAAGTTGACATGTAAATCCTGGAAATCCGTGGAAAATTCTCATGTCTGATTATATCAAATCAGTAATGGTCTGGTGCATGTTTGTATTTTATGTAAATCTGCAATATGCTTGTGTGCATTTTCAGTATACCAGTAAACTGAAAAGAATGAGTGAGTGAACGAGTTTTAGTTTTACGCCGCTTTCAGCAATATTCCAGCAATATCACCGCAGGGGAACACCACAAATGGGCTTCACACTTTGTACCCATGTGGGGAATCGAACCTGGGTCTTCAGTGTGACGAGCGAATGCTTTAACCACTAGGCTACCCCACCGCCCCAAAACTGAAAAGAAACACACATTGCAATAACATAATGGTTGGAGCTCAGATATGCCTGTGGTAAATGCAACAAGACAAAGTGGTTATTGCAAGCAGATCTTGTATCACTACATTCTAGACACAAAGTGAGTTACCTGTATATACGGAGGTTGGGATTGGTAGGGTTGTTGGGTGCTCATCATGATGTGTGAGCCCTGCTGGGTGTGTGGGGCGGGTCCACGCTGCTGCAGGGATTCTATTATGTCTGTTGACATATGCATGTTTGAAAACTGATGTATTGTGTCTTGATCCTGGAAAGAAGAAATGTGCAAGGTTAGTGTCTAGAACAGTCTGAGGATGCACCTTTGGTTCTAAACTATTAATATCACAGCATGGACATCGACCCAACACTCCAGGATGCCTGCCTCAACATATCTGTCATGTCAGTTCCCAATTCAAATCTTTATGCATAACATTTAAGGAGTAGGTTTTCACAGCAAAAGTCCTAGGCTAAGGGTGATAAATGTATGCTCCCGAAAACAGTGAAAAGTAAGAAAGAGAGGTTCTAATCTGCTGCTTTTTTAAATAATAAAAAAATTAGATTCAAAACAACTGTCAACTTACAACATGGGTACATACACTAGAATATTGTGTTGGTAGACTATTTGGGAATGATGTTGATGAAGGTGTTGATGGATGTGCTGATGACCCTGCACTAGGTAGCCAGGGTGGTGGCTGGGCTGGATCGTACCGATACAAGGACCCGTCAGGATTCACATGGGGTTGTACTGAAACATGAAATCATGGAAGCATTTACTACAATATTTCTTTAGGTAAATGAACACTGATATCACTCTTTAAAAACACTTATTAATTTATCAAATGCAAAAAAACACTTAGCTTTGTAATAAACATAAAAAAAATACTCAAAAATCACACACAAATAACATATTAATAACTCAAAAAAAAAGTCAATAAAATAATCACAATCAAATAAACAAACTCAAAAAAGACATTCGGCAACAGTAATCACTTCAAGTACATCATAAAAGACAACCAATCCATTTCAAATTAGCCTAACAAGCACTATCATCCAAGAAACAGGCACATGTATCTACATTATGAAAATCCACACTCTTGTATGAAAGCATGCGCAAACACAAAATTACATAGTAATTCAGTACATAGTATGTGAACTATCAGTGACATTTAGAAAGCTTGCGATTACAGGTGATAGTTCCAATATACATGAAGCTACAACTGATGCAGTAACTTAATGATCAGTTGAAACTAGAACATTACAAGAGGTAATGTAAACTGAAATAATCTCACAGGTCTATGCCAAAACCTGGCAGTGATAGAAATTCAGAGGGGGTCTTTGAAGTTTTCTGCTTCAGTATTTAAGCTCTATTCCACAAAGCAATCATTGTCTCAAATAGGGCAATGTTGAAGTATGATCTTTTGATTGTCTTAGCGCTAAGATCGTTTTGTAGATCAGGAGTCTGAATTACTCTATTTTCATTTCCTAATTTCCATCACTGCCTAAGCTGCATCTTCAAATATGGAACATAAGACATATTTCTGCATGAATGTGTGAGCAGCCAATGACCAGGACAGGCAAACAGTGAATGATGTCAGATGTTCATGGTTGTAGCACATTCTTTATTCATCATTATGATGAACATTACGTTCATAAGGACGAAGGTGAGAGATGCTCCACATGTAACTGTTCAGACAATGCAGGAAAGTATCATATCATGGAGCACATTCTTTCTGAGGGAAACCGAAACCATATTTAGGCTATTAGTTCACTTTTATTACAGCAGGATTCAGTGAGAGTACACAATGCATGTATCTACGTACAAATTAAGATCAAGTGTTAACATAAAACAAACTTCTCTACCCTGAAAATAACCACAAATTGTCAAAACATGTTTCTTTAGTACTACTTAGAAAACATTTGACATAGGATAAAAATGATTAACATGATTACTTTCACAGTAACATAAATAGCAAATACAGGCATTTGAAATTATAGACATGTCCCATCAACGAGTCCCATAAACCATCTGAAACATTCCACTATGTTTGGCAGCTTGATGGGCATATACCTGAGAGATCACAGAAAAGAAATCAAAATGTACAAAGACAGTTATAAGGAGCGAAAAGATGGAAAAGGGATTCATGCTTGTTAAAACAGACAAATCCCACCCACATGTTTGTGGGTTGATTATCATACTTCCAGGCGGGATGTTGGTAGGGTCCATCGCTACCAGGAAGGCATATTGGGAACTTGGGCCTGGTCCACCACCACCTGAACAAAGTAAAGGAGCTGCTGTCAAATATTTCGATACTCTACTCAAGTCATAGAATCACTTGATGAGGTCATTGACCCAGTGGGTAGAAGCGATACAGTTAACATATCACTGCAGTTTGCAATGTAGGACAAAGTTTTTCAGACTCAAGTCCTCATCCTTGCACATCTTTTCACATTGAAAATCTGAGAAGATGAAAATCAGTAAGCATGATGGTGAGACATATTTCATATGTATGATTTTTCTGGGAGGCATAAAGGACCGATTCAGAGATTACACTAACCTGTGTAAATAATTCAGTGAGGATGATTTTACTTGTCAGATGGTAATTTGTACATTTCAGATTATGTCTTATGACATTAACAACCTCACTCATTAATGAGGCTGTAAACCAAATAAAGACAGTCCCATCAATATATGTCATCACTGTCAACATCCAGAAACATTTATGCAACATGGTTTCTTCATATCTCATTATATTTCTTTATCATGGAAACATCCTGATGACTACATCTATGTCCAAGGCAGGTCGAAATCTATCTATCTGATGTTTGAAGTCATCTATACTGTAATCCATGTTTGCAGTTCAGTTGGCACAATATTTATCTCAACCTCGCACATTAAATACCTCATGGAACAAATTACTACTATCTGGGATTCCAGGGCTAAAATGACTTCAACTTTATTCCAAGTGAGTGGTGATGATGGCGGGGGAAAACAAAGGGTTCTTATTCCTGGAATCAAATGCTGCAATAGCTTGTTGTAATGGTCATAGCAGAGAAAAGAGTTCTGATACTGGTGAAAGATGCTTTATTGAGGTGGAGAAAGGGTTCTTGTATTAAACCCAAGCACGTGCTGATGGTAGAGAATATAAGAGTGTAGATAATGATGGCCTTAACCCTGGTTGGTGGTGAAGGCAACAAGAAATGTTATAATACTGCCTAAAAACCTCATCACATGAATTCAGTAAATAGGTGTCCTCCATATACAATGATGACTTGTTAACTAGGCATCATGAAGGAAATTTGGACTTCACGTTGATGCTGGTTTGTCCTTGAAGCTATAAGTCCTGATGTGAGCAGCTGGGAGATTCCTCACACAGTCACATGAATCTTGTAGGTCCCAGGTGTGACATATGAGACAGATGAGTGAACATCACAGGCACACCATAACACTGCAGAATGACATCAAGGTGTATCACAAGAAAATCCTCTCGCTTGTACAAGTTAAAGGTGATCTTTTCAGCCTCACGCTAGATACCCTCAAATCATCCGAAATCTGTTCTTGTCCTTGTTCCTAATTGAGCTGGCTCTGATCCTGTAGAATGTCCCACCATGTTACTCCAACAGTCTGTGACTTTAGCCACAAGTCCATTAAAATACTGTTCGGTCAAACAATCTCAGTCAATAACAGGCCATATAAGAAAATATTCCAAACATGGTGAAAAAAGGGCCTCTTACCTCACCCTAGTTGTGAACAAACTGTTTTCTCACCTGAGGTGTTTGGTGTTGCATATATTTGAAAAAGAAAATGCTGCCTTACCTGAGGTGTGCGGTGATGGTACAGGGCCAGTGGAACTGCTGCGGGGAGAGGGGCGAGTGATCCGACTGGCTGCCTGGCGGGGACGTTGGCACAGGGTATGGACGACCAGACCCGCAGTCAAAGCTACCCGATGTGCCACTGCTTACTGAATCTGGTTGGAGAGGACATTTTTCAACAAAAACAATATGAGGTGTTCATGGTAGTACAAAGTGAGGTTACAACAAAAACTGAAATAGCACACATCAAATCTTTCTTCTTCAAGAACAGACATCCCCTGTTGGGATTCTTGTGAAGAACAGGTCAAAATTAAAATATAAACCAAGTGATCGTCACAGTGACTGTGTTGATTGCTCACATCAGTCACTGGTTTGTCTGGCCTGATTTGATAACAACATTGAAAAATATAGAAAAAACAGATATGGAATATATCACTTCAAATCTGTATGTCAAACATTGATTTTTGTATTGTAACTTGATGTATGATGAGGGCAATGATGAACTGGTGGATCACACCACTCCTTGCAACTGATATGATCAACATGAATTTGTATGCCTTTACTATGACAAGCGGTTACTGTTTTACTATACCTGCTTTGGAGAAGCTTGATGAGCCATGGCTTTTCACCAGTGGATGTCCTGGCATGCCCCCGTAGCTGTTGGCTTTCTGTATGCTCAGTCGAGACTGTTTACCCGTGTTTTCACATGACCCATACCCACTGGAGTCTGTACTTGGCTGACGTGAACCAAGGTCTTCCTTGCTGCTCACAAGGCTGGATTTACCCGATCGACTATTACTAAAATATCATAAACCATCTTGCATAATTCCTTGTTAAATTAAACTAAATCTCTGGTTATAACTGGAAATAAATCTTAAATCTTGCAGTGTGAAAATGTAAAATTTGAAAAGAGATACTTAAGTACGTAAGATCACTATGCAAGCTGATGCAATGGAGAGATATCACATGACTGAGACACATACCTCACTAATGGAGCACAAGACAGGTAATCTTCAGAACCACCCTGTTGGAGGAAAACACAACATTAAAGTCCTTGATTGAAAACATCCACTGTTAACAATTTGAATACAGAATAAAGAAAGAAAACAATATATAAGGTTGATAAAACAAAAATGAGTCACTACTGAGAACAAGTGAGGAATTTTAATGTCAAGAGTAAATGAGAAAGTCACAAGTGGGCTATTTGTCATGACACTACTTGTTTTGTTTGTTGTTTAGCCAGGCCCTCAGCAACATTGCAGTTACATTCCAGTCCGTAAATAATCGAGTGATCATGAGGATCAATCTATGCAATTGGGAGACAATGACAGATGTCAACCAAGTCAGAGAGGCTGACCACCCGATCTTGTTAGTCACCTCTTTCGACAAGCATTGGTTGATATTGGTACTTGTACATGTATACTCATCAAGAAGGAAAAACACATCGCCATCTGAACATATACTGTATTCAACGATTTAGCCCCATAGGTGCCGAGGTAAATAAAATCTAAAAAGGCCCTGATTAGGATACCTGTAGATGGTAGATGGAATGGGTGATTTGCGGGTGGGAGCGCTAAATAGGAACAGGCTAAAAATTACACAATACAGTCAATGAACAGGTATCACCACACATCACAAACGCTGACACACTTCCACGATCACGCTCACCTCCATGACCTATACTGACTGTATTTTCATGTGCATAGTGAGCACTTGCACTTCTCTGTAGAAAAGGGTGTGCATCATATACACAATGATGAATTCTCATAGTTTTTACATTATGATCAGGCAGGACCATGTGCACAGAACATCGGAATTACCTTGCCTTGAAATGGACTTTATTTGACAGAAAATGGGTGCATTCATCATAGATGCCATACTTTGACCAGCTTAAAGTCTTACTCATTGCAATTTGACTGTAATATGCCATCAAAGATTTTGTAATCGCTGAACACAGGAACGCCTGACAGGACTAGTAAAAAAAATTCACATGTAAAAAATATCTAATCAGCTTTACCGAAGTGCTGTGCAAAATATTAATATTTTATGTATCTTTACTGGGTTTGTATTGACATGACCTGAATTCGCTGAAGGTATACAATATAGTCTTTCGTCTGCGCATGATTTACTTGGGATGATTTTTTTCCTCCAAAACATTGAGTCACTTAACTATGGGTGTTGTGTACTACACACATGGCTGTGCATATTCGGTGAATTGAACCCTATCCCTTCATGAATTCAATTCGTTATTTGTGATAACTAGAATTTTTAACACAGATATCACCAAAATCTATAAATATAAATCTTCCAAAGTATAGTCATATGCCCCAACGATGGAACATTAAGCACTGTGTATTTTTCTATGTATTCCACTGTTCCCAACTGTGGCTTTACAGAGTGACATAATGTTCGCAGTGTTTGAAACTAAGCAATGAGCCTTTTCATAATCCTCATATAAAAATTCATCAAGGGATTCCTTAGATTTTTTTTTTATTTACTAATGCAGTTCATATTTTATCTTCAGTCACAGAACACAAAGTCTACCTCTCCATTCTTGAATATCCTAGCTTTGGCTTCTTCATAGCTCTTCTGTCTTTCTTCCAGCGATTTGGCACGGTTACTACCAAATAAGTGCTTTTCTAAACCCTTACTCTGAAAAAAATGAAGATCATACAATGTATAAAAGCCAAATGGAATGAAGTACAAAAATAATGAATTTATATTTAACTAATTAAATACATATCAGTATGCATTGCAAACATGTCACTAGAAACATCACAAAATACAATACTACATATTTCACGAAGGAAAACCAATACAAGTTCTATGGATAGTAAACTTCTTTATTGCAATGAATACAACGTTTCGGTGTATGTATGATATCAAGTGTTGCACCGATAGTTGCATTCATTGCAATAAAGAAGTTGACTATCCATAGAACTTGGTTTTCCTTCATCTTCAAAACATCTAATATGCCTCTCAAAGAAGTTACATATTTCACATCTGTCATATTCATCCTAGTTAAAACTTTCTCAAAAGAAATGCACTAGATTTCAAATGAAGGTATGATCCCTTCATGGCTGAGAAATAAATGTATTTTGTCTATACATATATATTGTTTCTATTTTGGCATCAAGTACTGTAAACGTATTATATATCGCGCAGGTTTTATTTTCGCGCAAAATATTTTACCGCAAAAATTTATACACAGCGAATAAACCTTTCATTCATTCACTCTACCCCCAGCTCGCCTCTGAGTTGTTACCATAACACATCAAGTTTGAAGACAGAAATCTACAGGAATCTTAAAATGACGACTGATAGTAGCATAAAGAATCACACTTAACTGTCGCTGTAATGGATTTCCCAAATCATGTCCTCACATGTTCTATTTTGACCAGTCGTAGTGACAGATAGTTTGATACAAAACGGATTACCATGAAACGACTCGGAAAGAAATAATACAGCAGTATTTTATTTATTCATTAAGATTTTATTTATATTTATTCCTGCATATCATGAAATGAAATCACAAAGTCTGGAAGTCCAGGTGTCTTGGGGGTAGGGGCTTTCTTTAACCACATTCGCAATGCCATCGTCAGATCGTCATAATTCGGAACATAAGACTGATGTGTTTTTCATCTCTTTATATAGTATACTAGTACCATCACGATATCTCACTTCCTAAGTACTTAATACTTCCGCGAGTAAACGTATTACTGCATATATCGTGCAGGTAGGGATTTCCTGTGAGTAAGCAATACACGCCACCTGACAGGTTAAGCCACTCTGGTTGTTTCATTGCTATTAGTGGCGGCCTAAGAGACAGATGGCAGTTCCGGCAATTACTGATTGCGCGAATAATTGACCGTGCGATGTAGTCTAAACTGTCAATTCCGCAAAATTTGCACCAAGCGAAAAAAGTACGTTTACAGTACTTCAGTTTCGTTTGAAAACATTGCAAGTGTTTAGCCTAAGTAAAATCAGAGGACTACAATACTACTAACACATAATCTAATACTTACTTCTTTTTCATCTAAACTTGGTGCTTTCCTAGGTAATATTTTCTTTTTAGTACCCATATCCCCACCCTTCTGTATATGGTCTTCAAAACAAAAATCAGGTCTGAAAATAAGTAAAAAGATGTTAAGAACAGGAGAAGTGATCACATAATTAACTGACAAAGATGGTTGGCTTGATTTATGCTTCAAACTTGGAAAGCAAACAAAGCAAGAGAATGTATCATTACAATTTTTAAGAACATTCCAAATATTCTGAAGTTCTCCTTGACAAATGACATGGTGGCCACTTCAGAAATCAATCCCAAGCCCTCAGCATGACAAAACAAATGTATTAATCACTAGGCCACCAGTCGAATCCATTCAAAAATAATGACAGAACGTTTCAGAACAACAGAACTCCAGAATGAAGGTGCAATCATAATTCTCCAGAAAGATGAGAAAAGTATAAAAACAGCTTTACAAACTAAACGCATAGATACTAAACTGTTACAATGAACAAATTTAAGTGCAACATCAAACACACCACTCTTGATTTGTGATTGACCATCTTCTGCATTACTGGATATTGATGCTGACAGAGATTGTAGTCCAATTTTTAACAAACGATATCCTTATCATTACTGTGATAAAGATTCTGCAGGTTTTCTTAATAATCTGGTAACAATATATAACGTAAGCAGACACAACTGAATAGCACACAATCTTTAACATTGCAAAGAAAGTGCATCTTCAAGACAAATAATGTTTACAATAATATAAACAATCAAATATACTAAGCAGCAAAAGAAACGTCAGTTTGGAATTTTCCTTCGCATAAACGGACAACTGTAAACTCATTTAATGTTTTGATTGTATATATTTGACATCTCCAACTTTACCTGAACAAAGACATTCTTTCCCAAACTCAGAATGGAACCCAGGAAATGGTTTCAAAAACACAACCTGATCTCGGAGATGGTACGGTGTTCTCCATGTTTTTCATGCAACTCATGCTGCACGTGCTGTTCACAAGGACCAGCCCTATAAAATGCACCCCAAACCTGGTTGAAACATTCATATAACAACGTCAGCAGGATGCCGCAACTCACGACAGCTGAGAGGAACCAGGCACTAGGAAGACTTGAAGCTGGCCACACTGCACAAGCCGTTGCCAATCACTTCCAGGTCAACGTTCGGACCATCTACAGGATGCAGCAACGTTTCCGGGTCACCAACACCACAAATGATAGCCTCCGTATTAGCAGACCAAGGGTGACCACAAGACGACAAGACTGCCATGTTGTGCCACAGCATGTTCAGAATCCCTTCATGCAGGCATCCGAAAAAGCACGACAGACAGTGGGAACACCCGGAAGACCAATCAGTACTGATACAGTACGCTGACGTCTTAACAGCGGGAACCTCAATTGCCGTAGATCTTACCGTGGGACCTATCCTCACCCTTCAGCATTGGCATGAACGTCTACAGTTTGCCATACAACACCAAAACTGGCGATACAGGCAATAGAGAACTGTTCTGTTCACAGATGAGAGTCAGTACTGCGTATCAACTGCAGATGGCATAACAAGAATATGGCGAGAATGTGGCCAGCGTTACTCAGACCAATGTGTTATGGAAGGAGAATCATGGGGAGGTGCAAGCATCATGGTATGGGGTGGAATATGCCTGAACCAGAGAGTGGGTCCTGTGGTGTTCCAAAACCTTGGTTCAAGGAGAGGAGGCGGCATCACAGCGGTGCGCTACATCGACTCAAGCTCTCAGACCCTACGTCATACCACATTTAGCACGTCACCGGGACAACATTTTCCAGCATGATAACGCCCGAGCCCATACTGCCAGAGCTACACGGGACTTCCTACAGCAGAACGGAGTCAACATTATGCAGTGGCCAGCCCTTAGTTCTTAGTTTAAACCCAGTTGGACATCTTTGGGATGAAATTCAGAGTAGACTGAAAAATGTCATACCAAGGCCAAACACACCCAATATATTGTGCCAGGCCTTTATCAGAGTGTGGTTCCAGGTGCCAATGGCCTTCATCAATCGATTGGTGCACTCCATGCATAGACGCTGTGCTGCAGTTATTGCCGCTCGTGGTGGTCACACTAGACACTGAAGTCAAGAGTCTGAATGGACAGCAAACGTTCACATAATGTCTTGAAATTGTGTTGAGTTATTCATTGATGTGTCAAGATATTGTACACAAAAAATGTTTTTGATCCGCTTATTATGTCCATTTCTGTAATGATTTGATTACAGTGCCTATCTAATTTTGAATTCGTACTGACGGGTTTTTTTGCTGCTGAGTATATATGCACCTACTTAAACAAGTACCAAAGATATATTAGATAAATATTAAATGCAATACTTACATCCTTGTGATTTTGGTTTTACTGACTATTACAGCTTTGCCACTCTGGTCAACATTGTGGTCCAGGCCGAAGAACGCCGCAATTCGATGAACCAGCATACGATCATACGACGACATCTCAGCAAACTGGAGAAACTGATGTCTGCAGAAATGATTGCATGAACATAAGCACAAAACTTTAATTGGAAAATGTTGGTTATACAGTAAATGTTTAAAGTCACAGTGCCTAAATGAAGTTCATTATTATCTATCTGACATTTTGTCTGAAGCAATAGATAATGGCACATTCAGATTTATGAGGTTTTTCGTGTACAATTTACAGCCACTGAAAACCTCCCAAAGCACTGCCAATAATATTCTTGCCCACATGTTAAGATTTGTTATAATTGCTACGGTTAACTCACACACACAGACACACAGACACATGCTGAGATGCGCACAGGTTCATATACAAAGAGGCAGTCGCACACACACACACATGCACACACAGCAATACTTACTTTGGTTCTTTGACAAATTTCTTGAGATCTCTAGCTAACTGTAAAATCATTTTCTTATCTTTCACAGATTTATTTAAAGTCCTTTTTATAAATTCTTCTAGATCAATCCCAGTGGAGTCTTTGTACTGTGTATCTAAACTGGATTCTGCAAGAAAACATGATAGGCGTGGAAATACCATCGATCAATATTCATACATGTGTCCAGACATCCGGCTTTACAAACTGCAGTAGATGGTCATCATTATGACATCACAGATCTGTCATATTGTTTTTCATAACAATTTGAAGCCCAACACTAAGTGATTGGGTGTTGTCAGCAATATCTCAGCCTCAACAGCATACAGAATCTGGAGCAGACGGCCTAATGACTGCCAGAATCAATCCAGGCAGTCAGTCTGTGATAAGAGCCAAACAGCCACATCACAGCTAAGTTGATCATCAATGTACCAGCTATGATCACCTGCAATAGTCACACAGTCAGACCAGTGCCATACTTTGATCTCCTTGTCAATATACATATATATATATGACTTGAATCTGTTTTTATGTGTTAAAGTGCTTGCTGTCAAAGACATATTGGCATAATTTCAACATCCCCTACCTCTAGATAAACTTGATGAGGTTCCTGCCTCTGAGCTCTGAGATCCACTTTTCTCTAACCTTCTCTCACTCTTTGTCTGAAAGTTGAAACAATTCAGACAGTAAGTAGAACTGACTTTTCAAACAGTTTCAATTATTGCTTTTGACTGTATGGCATAGCACATCATATTCTGAAAGAAAAACTATCAATGCCATTCTCCGGAAAAAGAGGGTAAATAGAAGTCACCAGGTTACAGGGAGTTTTGAGCATCATAGCAATATCACCAGGGTCTACTAACTGATCCTATTATACCTAAGTAGACAGTTCTTGTTCAGGTGGATTACTTACAGGACATAGTGAAACAGAGGTAATACTGGTGACTGTGTCATTAACAGCATTCACTAACTCAAGCAGACTGCACACACTGAATTTTTATACGTGTACATAAACTGTTACCAAGCAATAAATGCACTTAGTTAGGCAGTATTCTCAAAGGGCAACACATCCCTGCACTATTCTCATAGTGACCGATTCAATGTCCTTATAAACCTCCATTGACCAGCAGGATGCTGAAAATACTTGGATCTCTTGCATTCAATAATACCCACAGAAGAATTGTCCAAGGCATCAAAAGAAATTCCCTACATTTTCACTGAACATTCAAGGCTTCTTGACCATTATCTCAGCCTATATCTGTACTGCTCAAAAATATTTGTGGGGGCAGTCTAAGCATGGTGCTGGCAACAAACTGGAGGCGTGAGGATAATTTGAAACAAGAAGCATCGTCATCATCTTAAGGCTAACCTGACCTTTCGTCTCTTTCAAAGAAAAGGTTAAACGTCATTAACCTTATGAAGCTTACACATTCTGGACACAAGGAAGTGACAACTAGATTTAAAATAATGTCGAAATCCTCACATCAGACACATAATTTGCTGTCTAAAGTTTCCAATCAGATTTCTTGCTTTAACCAACACACCTTTGATTCCTTGGGTTCCAGATGTTCTATTGGGTACATCACATCAGGAGGAGGAGGACTGTCATCACATAAAGCCTCAGCTCGTTGTAAAGTTTTCATTTTACTCTGGAATGAAACACATTGTTGTTGTGTTAACACATGGAACTACAACATATATCCAACAGACATCCCAATCAGATAAATTTCATTTATCACACAAAATTGCAGCTGCCCCTTATTTGGTATATGCAAAATGAAACACTTCAAAAAGGCCACAAAAACTGTGGTGAGAAATTACCAATCTGTATTGGGTCATTTTTGAAGTTTCCATTGCTACTAGATCTCAGTTTGTTGAGCTGGTTTATTACAGAATATTAATAAATTTATTAAAGGAGGTAACTCTCAACTGCAGATGTTGACAATCTTCTACTTAGGAAATCTGAATGACTAGTTCTAGTTCATCTAAACATGGAAACTGTGAAATATACAAATTTGATGTTTCTGCCTCATTTCATTACATTCCCATGAACCATAAATGGTAAACGATACCACAGACGAGAATCAACAATAACCCCACCAGAAGTTGAAGCCAATACTTTGTTACATATGTTACTTGAAACCATGTGTCATACAGAGTCTTGTCAACAATCTAATACCATGTTACTCACACTATACTATAAACATCTCATTAAGTTAAAACATGGAACACAAGTACATTATCATCCTATGAAAAGAAATCATTCTAATAGCATGATCTTTACATCAAAATGGCTGGCATCACCTGTGAATTTGTTCGTACTGTCTGATGGTGCTCTTGAATATCAGACTTTCCATCTTGGGATGAGACTGTCTCATATCCAGTCTCAGAATCTGGAGAACCTGTGGCTGACTGGGCAACAGGGGTTTCAATACCTGCAAGTACATTTTTTTCAAGTTCAGTATGAGGGCAAGGTTCCATATTTTAAATGGGGATTTTTTTGTTTTCTGTTTTGATGTCATATATTTGAATCAAAACCTATCAACAACCAAGTTTTGATGTATGGGGAACAATCAAGGATCTTATAATCACTATTATCACCAAAATATGCAGAGACCAAAAATCCTTTCAAATAAAAAAACATAATTCCTCAGAGACACCTCTTAATTTCTGACAATGTGTGAAGCCCATTTCTGGTGTCCCCCGCCGTGATGTTGCTGGAATATTGCTAAAAGCGGCGTAAAACCAAACTCGGTCAGTCAGTCTTAACTTCTGACCCTGTTCAGTAAAAATATGGCATATGTGCCACAGGTTTCAAATGCCAGTAACAATTTTGTCTAATTTTTTTCACAAAAACTAAAGCCAAAATTGTAATGAAATCACCGAAAGTAGCAGGCGTCATATGTTCCCCTAGACAGACAAGGCCAATTGGCGTTAGCATGAGAGTTAGTGAAAAAAACAATTTTCAGTTGTTTACACCTAAAATCCAGCTATTCACATGAAGCACTAGTCTGAAATCAGCAGCAGATGAGCTGGACATTTCCAAAGGTGTCTATCTTTGTTTTCAACACGTCCACAATAACACAGAAGTCGACCAAACATTGATTCATAAACATGTGAAAAGTATGTATTATCAGATGTTGGTGCTCATTAAAAGAGTTTTCATCACACAATAGGTAGAATATTTTCATCAAACATTGCCCTCAATCTTCAGCTACAGCGGATACTAGCTAAACAAACCCTGCAGAGTGTGAATTAATATGAACAACTCTTACAGAAATATACACCTGTCAACTGATTGTTAAGTCTGACCCAGTTTGTGGAGTTTACATAGGAACGGCTGTATGGTTATACCCGATATCAATGTCATTATTAGAGCAAGACACTTCTTTCTCAGTCAGTTCAACATGTGTTCATAAACATTAAGTAAATCTGAATTGTGTAGATTACTAGATGATACACAGGACAGATTGAGAGGTAGTGAACATATAACTCTGCTCAAGAAAAATGATTTCTTCCAGACTTATAATATGAAAAATATATGAATGAAACCTTTCTCTGAACATGTGAAACACAATTAAAGCACTTGTAAGTGGACAATATTTCAGTCCATATGAACAGATTGATATGAGGGTGAGTGTGTGAGTTTAGGTTTACACCACTATCAGAAATATTCCAGCAATATCACAGCAGGTCAGACACCAGAAATGGGCTTCACACATTGTACCTATGTGGGAAATCAAACCAGGGAATTTGGCGTGATGAGTGAAAGCTTTAACCACTAGGCTACCTCACCTGATATGAAGGAAAATCCTCTGGTGACACTGAGTTTAAAAGCTTGAATATCTGAAAATCTACCTGGCCTGACTGAATGTTTTGTTGTCGTAAACTTTCTTACTAACTAAAGTGAAAAACATTGATGCAAAGACCAGTACACATGCAAATGGTAGCCCATTCATGGCCGCTATAGGGACAAACTCTTTCTGGCATTGTAAGCTATGTGTCATGATTGTCACAACCTGGTATTGTCACAACCTGGTATTGCCAAGGTTTGCCTGATGTCTTCATAATATTCCTGTTGGAAAACCATTTCACACAAGTGACATATTGAATGAAATGTGATTTTTTAGACAAAATTCAGTCAACACGTGGTCCTGTGCATAGCGCTCAGGTCAAAAATCAGTTGAACTTAAGCAACGTTGGGCCCTTGGATGGGTGACCGTGTTGGCAGCTTAACTCCTGAGAGTTTCTAGGACTTCAGTCCTGCCCGACAACGAAGCACATGTGATACATGTGGTCTCACCTTAGGCAAGCGAGTTTGTTCACCCAGCAGGAAATGGGTACCCGGTGAAATAAGTCGTGAGACTATTAACCTTCTAGCGCCTAACAGGCAGCTTGGTTTATCCGGCGTAATAATGATCAGATTGTGTGCTTTGAGCACGATATCTAGCCTGGAAAAGGGGCGTTATAAATATTATCATTATTATTATTATTTAAATATTCTCATTAACACAAAGTTCTAAACTGTCAGTATTCGTCATATATGCAGAGATTTGAATATCTCCATGTAACTGTCAGATAAAATAAACTGGGACTTGCTACTTTGGTACGTTACTTGTTAGTTCTCATGTACAAAACAGTTTGACAATTTACCATTTGAGACAATGATGCCAATTAATGATTCAGACATGAAGGCATCCCCCAATTTTGCTATTTTAATCACAAAACAAAATATTGGCAAACAATAGTACAAGACCAACTAACAACAAGTCAAACACATTTCTCATTCTCGGACAACATATGACAGTTTCAAGGCATTAGAAGCAGTAATCATGGTTGCTCAAACTAACATTCGGTAGATGCAATCTGCAGATCAGATCCCCACATGATTTTACCAAATGTCATGTGAATTCCTCTAGACTTGAAAATAGATTGATCCACTGCAAACCTTGCAAAAATCATCAGCGTTTACTGATACAGGTGTACACCACTTGACATATCCTAGTACTTCAATCATGATACAATTCATATCAAGTTACCTTGTTCTTACGTACGCATCTGTATGTTCCATGCAGCTTGTGGGACAAACTGTTTCTACCAACAAGGTTATGTTGCAACTGTGTAACCGTTTAGTTCAGGACAGATATTGGAAGGAAGATAAAGATGCTATATATTGCAAAATATTGTAATTATCAAATTTAGAAAACCAATACAGAATTAATATTTTAAATGATATTAAGTTAATGTTAGATAATCGCTCCAGACAAGATCTGTATTTGCATAAATTATAAACAAAAGAAATAACCATTACCAAATTAACCTTGACCTGTTTGTGGACCAATTTATATTAACAGGGATGAGAATGGGTATGAGAGAAAAAAAAGAAGAAATGAGCCCGGGGTGTTGGGAGCCGTAAGTCCTCATGCCAGATCCAATGACCCCAGTGCAATCAAATCTACGGATCCGCGGAAAATTCTCATCCCTGTATTAAGCATTTCAAAGGCACAATAGGACAACTACACTAAGTGTAACCCAATGCAGAAAATAAGTAAATCCTGAACTTTTTCTGATCGAATGCAGTCATCATTCAGATGAACTTTTCTGAAGTGAAATTGCACAAAAGCACTACCTCTCTCATAGTGCAACATCTGACGGAAAAGGGCCACTAAACTTTGCATCTAACACCATAAGGAGGAATATATCAAATGGGTACCAACTTGCCAGAGGCAAAAATATGGGACAGACAAAACAGCACCTTACTTGCATTCATGAACATAGAACTTATAACAAAAATTCTACTCCTTGTTAAGTTAGTTTAAAAATACCCAATACACAAGACCTCAGGCATACAATTATACAGCATACCCTTAGCAAAGTTGACATATCAATGAGAATAATTTGATATTAGTAAATACTCACAATGGCATCAATGATATCTGAAGCACTGTCAAATTCAAATTTGTGATGCCCTGATATATTTGAGAACCGTGACTCCCAATGAATATAATCTGAACATACCACAAGAAATAGAAGAGAGTGTGACACAATACTAAGTGTATATTTATAGCGTTTATCGCATATCAACATTTATCATGTTATGAATCAATAACTCCCTTTACATTTGACAGAATAATTCAATCTAATAAGGTGTTAAAGAAACAGAGGAAGCAACACAGACAGTATACATTGTACAAAAGTAATAGCAGGAATACAGGAGAAGACAAATATTGGCCAACCTAAAATATGATGCTATACATCATGCCATATCTTCAAGGCTTACATGTCTAATGATATGAAATTATATCTCAAAGGCCCATAAAAGAAGTTTTGGAAATGGCCAATACAATTTATGAAGACATTGCATTTAACCAATCAAGACAATAATAACATACTAATGTGCACTAGTCACAACTGGATAACAGGCTCGTGTTTGAATCATTTAATAGTGGACTAAATTGATCAAAAGAAAACAAAAAAAATCTACATTCTGGAGCTGTATTATTCCTTTTGGATTTACAATCTTTGAAAATCAAGTACAGGGCTTGATTTAAGAGATGTTAACCTACTTGCACCAGGTGCAACCTAAGATAACAACCTAGTTGCACCAACTAAATTCCAGTTGCACTGCTATTATTGCAATATGTAATGGAAGAAATATGCTATTGAATTATTCAAAGTTTAGAAGAAAAATGAGCTGACATAATTATGATTTTTAATGTTAGATTTATTGTTGATATATTTCTCAAAACTTGACTTGCACCTGGTGCAAGTTAAACAAATAACTAGATTGCACTTTGTAATATTGGGTTGCACCAGTGCAGGTAACAAAGTATCAGCCTTGTCATAAACATACAATGCAACAATTTTCTGTTTTCATTTAGACATTATTTGTAGATTTGATGGCATAGTCTTTGTATCTGAATGGATTGTTAAATATATACTGTTTTTTAATCTGCACTTGCTGATGCTGTGTTTTCCAATTATCTCAAGGTTTCAACTTGCATAAATTTGACTACACTCTGCAAACAAAACAAATAATAGAAATCTTCTGTCATCATAGCCATAAATCTATTCTCAGCTATGATGAGTCACTAATGTAGCCATTTTCTTTCTACCATGGTGAAAGGAACTCTGTATCTGTGCATGTGCTAAGGCTTTTTGCTGTCTCCAAGTTCCCATAAAAATTTCTGACATTAAAATACCAAAGGTTGTACTTCTCACTTGCAAAATGGCCATTGGTTTCACATTACATGTCCAAACAGAAAAGACGTAACTTGTTACTTATCCTTATATGTACAAAAGAATGTGTTGGAACAAGAATATACTTCAAAGAAGATGTTGCACATTGTATGACGAGAATCCATTTTAATTTAGCATTTCAGTGTATATTTCATCAGCTACACCTATCCACACGGCACCATAATTTCATTTGGTGCAGAAGGACTTGCATGTATCAGACACAACCAGCTGTGTAAATGTTTCCAAAAATAAAGTTTCAGCTATGTTGTTGCGGTGGAAATATCTCTCTTCAGCAAAGTCATCACTGATGTGGTGTAACTTTCCCTAAATGCTTGAATGAGGTGCCATGCTTATCTCCTGACTAAAGGATCATTATGTCACATTTCCATCAATTATGACCTCATGTTTAGAACAAGGCAATAAACAGAGTATTTGTATTCACAAACAATAGGAAAACATCAGTTTCACAGAGACTGCAGCTAGACATTTACAGCTATTTAAGTTAATTTCCAACTTGAGAAATTCATAAATAAGGAACATCAAAGTAGCATTATTTACAAGTTCAAAATATGTGACACAACTGTTAATATAAAGTAAAGGGTTGAATGACTGCAGAAGGATTACAGCTGCCTGGAGGTAATGTCAACATCACAGCAGGGCACACACACAATGGTGCTTCACCAACTAACAATTCACTCAAGGAAACAACCAATGTGGTCTGCTGCCAAAGAACAAGGCTCTCTATCTTACCATGCTTATTGGATGATTTCTACAGGTATTTAGAAGTCTTCCTTCCAGAACACACAATACCCAGATTGTACTATATCATATGAATTAAATGACATTTATCACTTCCATCTGTTTTGTTCAACCAGCAACAGATAGGATGCCCGGTATGTCCATAAATAGCTGGTGACAGATATATTTTAGCCTTACAACGGAGTACCATAATAATTTTTTCAATCAGGAAGGGATGAAAGTGCTGTGTGAATGTCTGTTCGCTACCAACATCCAAAATCATATCAATCTGCGACTCTTTCACATGTAACATCAAGGTTACACCGCTCTGGGTTCTACTATCTTCTTTCAAATCAGGGATTCTGAATAAACACCACTATCACTAAATACTATCACCACAACTATTTACACTTCTTAAGAGTCTAATTACAAAGTTTCAACCTGCAGAAGTTAATAAATGTCAGCTTGCACTGACAAAACCTGCTGATTTAATGTCCTCCCAGATGATATGGCTGCACATCCACAGTCAAATATTTCTCAGATAAAGGTTCAACATTTCACCATTACATTTCTTTCCTACTTGGACCAAAACTTGTTGAACATCCACTGTTTCATAACAGTCTCAACACTACCTCTGTCACCATCTGCTAAGTCTACTTGAAATCTAGTGCTATACCATCCCCACTTTCATAAACTCAGTCACTCAGTGACCCTTTTCATCATGTTAGATAACCCGCTGCGTGCACTTCTCAATGTCAATTAGCTGTTTAAATGAGGTCACTCACATGCTGTCAGGGCACTATCAGCAATAATGTTGCATTTGCACAAGTAATGCCTTGGTACATTAAGCATTGATAATTAGTCAAATCTATATTTGTTACATTGTGTTCACATAGCATACTATGTTTCATGATGGGTAGGGAAGATGGAGAGGGAGAGCACCAGAGTTCATGATTAGTCCAAAATGTTTGCAAGGACCCAGCCAGAACAGCTTCAAACAGAGCTGCTTATCACAAGACACATTGTGCCTGGTGAATACTTATCAGGTATCAGAAGCTCTGGAACCTCAAAAAGTTCTACTCTTTTCAGTTGCTGTGATGTAATCCCTCCTAGGAAATGCCTACTGAACTAGCATTATGGCACCAAATCATTTGTTGGTCAGTCATCATTGTATCATGGATCCTCTGGATCATGTCTGGTGCAGCATGAAAGGCCTTCCAGGGTGAGGGTCATCTTTAAGGCTGTCCTGGTCATGTTTAAACTCTGCTCTCAAACTCTTCAGCATAGCACAAGAAGGGTCATCCTTCCCTTGTGCTGTACTCATGCCTTTCATTGATGACTTTTGATGTTAAAGCCCTTTTCGGAAGCACTTGATGTGCTGCATGTTCCTCCACAGTTTGAATTTTTCCATTTTCCAATGATCACAGATCCCTTCTTATTTCACTGACATGTGACAATGAAACAATATCCTCAAGTTTTATCTGGAAATACCTCCATGACATCACACAATGTTCAAGAGATTTCACTTTACCCACATGCTTCTGTGAGGTTCAGCATTTATCAATCAAACCTTAGGTATCATTTGAAAAAGAAACTGACAGTAAGTATGTGGTCCCTGCACATTTTCTCCTCCGACACTAACTTTGCTTGAGTGAAATGTGGAGCATTCAACATGTACTTCTCACCACTTATTGCAAAATTCCGTAGCACAGAAACGAAATGAAAGAGAAAATTTCATTGGTTGGGTTTTTAAAATGTTACTCCATATTACAGAAAATCGCACCCTTTGATAAATTATGTTAAAATATATTTCTAGATAGTTGTTCCTTAGTCAGAGTACAAGATGAAACAGTGATAAACTCACACCTTAAGACATTGTTGTCCTTACATGACAGAAGTAATAATGATAATGATGAATTTCTTCATCACTGCCAAAGTTTCTGTGACAACAGAATGTACTCTCTCCCTGGAAATGCCCACAAAACTGGCAATGTGGTGCTCAGTCAAGTGCAGGTTGGTCATGACATATTGTATACTCTCTGGATTACTACTAGTGTTGAAATAGTGTCAAACTCAGAAGATGGTGGTGTTCTATCCAGTTCTTTCATGGCAAAATTATCATAACTATTGATTTACTGTTAATAAATGAACTGATAACAGAATTTACAAGAATAAACAGATTTTCACAAGACTCAGGCTAGCGGTTAATCTTGCAGACAGACTCTTTATAATGGGACAAAACCTCACATGATTCTGCTCTTCTAGAAAAGAACTGTAACACTGAGAGACCAGATTGCACATTAATCTACATGAACTTAAACATCTCAAGGCAACAGAAATCAAAATACTTCTTCTCAGAATAATAAAGCAAAGCTTAACCTTAAAGAGTAAAAATATCCAGTACAATGAATTTCTCCTCAATGCCTGTGAGTAAACAATAATGAGGTGTAATGGTTGTCATGAATATGCATGACTAAACATGCTAATCAGAGAAAACAGGGTATACCTATTTCCCTTGATAACTATCAAATATATCTGAGCCTACAGGTTATGCTGAAGATCCATGCAACAGTTGATTATTTCTCTTGTGCATGTCTGTGAATGAAACAATGTATGTTTATTGAGGCTAATATGTATACCTGGTGTAATGGTCGTGTCAGACACGTCAGAGTTCGGACTTCCATTTGTTTCTTGTTCTCCTTCCTCCACTTCTTCTATCTCTGGTTGTTTTTTCAGCGGTGTTTTGCCCGACCGACGTTCAGACTCCGCCATGGTCATTTAGGGCCACTGAAACAAAAATAACAAGTTGTATATAATGCTTAATGACTAAAACTTGTCTTTACGAAGGTCTGTTCACATTTCAAAATGTCTTCCAGGAAGAAAAACACATATAATATTCCTGAAATTGAGGTCGTTGAATGACAGAATCATAAGAAAAACATTATAGTGAGTGAGTATGGATTTACGCCGCTTTTAGCAATATTCCAGCATTATAGAAATGAGCTCCACACATTGTACCAATGTGGGGAATCGAACCCAGGTCTTCGATGAACGCTGTAACCACAAGGCCACCCAACTGCCCCAGAAAAACATCATAAGGCACTGCCTGATATTCCAGTATCAGTATCATAGCTTTATCAATACGAACTTCACTGACCACCAGGACCACTACAAACTTATGATTTAGTGGTCCTGATGAATTTTTACTAGACAGGGATCACTTTACAAGCGTAAATTTCACACACTGTAAGCATGATATATCAGCACAAGTATTTTATCAAATGTTATGTATCATGTCATAAAGTATCAGCAGGCACATCAATGGTTGACTGGATGGTTGGTTAAATGCTTAATGCATCATTCAGCTATAGTTAACTTACAATAGGGTGGGTGGACATATTTTTCCAGGTCTCCACAGGTGCACATCAATGCTGACAAAATGACAACACCCCTAGTAATAACCCAGACCAGATAATTCACTTTACAAGCTTCAACAAGCAAGCCCTACACAAGATTAACCTTTTCTATAATGAATTCTGATTTGGAAAATGTATAAACATAAAAAAAATTACAAACATTTAAGCATTTAAGATGCCATTACAAAGTTTTACGCGATGTTCAAATGTGCGTCCAGTACATACAAATGTAGAGAATGGACACAGAAAACAAAAGTATTGTGAGCGTAATCGATAGTTACTTTTCATGTGCAGCAAAATTTAAACAACCCATAAGGAGATTTCCCATTTCTAACTCAGGTCCAATCATTACCCAAACAACTGTCATGTGTCATTTGTTTTACAGCAGTTAGAATCCAAAACGATCTTGCAGAACAAAACAATATATCATAAGAATATATAATTGGTCAGAACTAACAAAGCACCTAAAACAAATAATGTTGTGTTCCTCTGGTGAAAGTTTAATGACTAAGCTTTTCCTAGCTAAGTCAAACTTGAGATATGAAATTCACTAACAACTTATTTCTAAATCGGCCATTAGTGCCACACATTAAGGACACCAAATGATTGAAAACAGCCTTCTTCCAAACCTCAGCCAAAGACTCAACAACCATCAACAACTGGTCTTGATCCTGTCATTTGAGTTATCCAATCTCATCCTGGATACAAGGAGAAAGGTGTTGAGAAACAGCAGGCCATGTTAGAAAAGTAAATCTGACAACTCAGGGCAACTACCATGAGTGTCAGTAAAACATCTCCTTGATGCCTGTACACCCTTGCATGGCCAACATTGCTTTCAAGTTGAAGCCTGGACTCGTCTGTGAACAGTATTCTGACCCAGTCATCTTCTGAACCCAGATTCTATCCACAGAGAAGTAGGCATGGAAGTCAGCTGAAGAAAATGCTGGACATCAAATTGTGCTTTTTCAACCAACTGCATTCCACTTATACCACTTATATTGGTTTCAACCCAGGAATTGTCACAGCTGTTAATGTGGCGGTTTTGGACCTATCTTTTAATCCACTACCTGGTGCACCAACCAAATATGTTTATGTTAAATACTGACAACTATCCCCTGGCAAGTCATGAATTTTGCCCTTCTGTAGAGAACATCTCCAAAGAGATGGCATTCTGCTTCTATGGATCTTATTTGGCCTTGCAACATTGTTTTGTAACATTTTTGTGTTCATAATACCAACAGAACATAGACTTAATTTTCAAGTTGGAAAAATGATTGAAAAACTGAGAAAAAGACTGACTAAAACCCAAGCACATGCATTTATCATGCACAATTAATTAAGAGATGTCCCTTAGCTACAATTCGAAACAGAAATGAAGTAAAATTCTGAATAGCCGATGTTTGATTGACAGCTTTGCTGGGGCAACTGATCAAGTAAGTGGTCAATAATTCGATCTCGGTAATAAATGTACAGATCGTTCAGGAAAATTAAACCATAAGCGACATAATCTTTGATAATGTAATTAAAAAAAATCATGACTATCCAGAGGTACAGATAAGCTGCGTATCTGCATAAATTATGCAAAGATTTATGAGAAAACTCAATTCCTATTATGTCTATTGCGTACATGTACTCATTTGCGTTTTGTAAATACTCAATAAATTTGATCTTACATGCGTACACACACAAATGTCAAATCTTAGCTTACGTACCGGTGAATAGATCAAATAAGTGAGGCATATTGAGAGGCTCTACTTCAACACATGGACTTGGCAACTTCCAGTCTTTCTGATAGTTTCATATATTGCAATATTACAGATGAAAAATAAATAAACGTAACCAACATTTGAACTTTTTATAGTTTTACAGTTATTAGAAAATGGCAAAATACCCAATTGAGTTGGAGTGAGGTGGGTACAATTTATTAGGTTACTCAAAGGAAAATTAAGATACCCAATTGAGATGAACACAAGCGAGTACTTAACTCTATGACCCAAAAAGTTATCTGTAGCTCTGCTATCAGGCAGTTGTAACAAATGTAATCAACATTTGTCAACTGAAGTTCATATAGTGTTACCGTGGTCAGGGAAGCCTACCGGGACCCATGGGCTAAAATATGGGAATTTTTTATTATTATTTAAGCACAGGGGCTTAAATTTGGATTTAATTCTTGGGTGTTTAGAGTGAGAGTGATGTCCCTTTCCAAACGTATGGCAAACCTCGACATTTTTAACATTAGTAGTGCCTCTGCAAGGTTATCACGCTTGGAGAACATTTTGGACACCGGTTACAGGGCAGTTATTAGAGACAGAAATTGATCATCGTAACCCCTACAGTTAAATTGAACCATGTGGTCATTCAATTTTGAATTTATAGACCAGTTTCCTGATAAAAGAGTCTTAAAAAACCTGATTCTTTTTATTTTATCAACATATTGCGCATTTTCGAATTTAAACCCTGGGCTTAAATATGGTTAAAATATGTCATCGCTAGAACAGTGAGTAGGCTTAAATACGGGAATTCCCGGTTATGGTGGAAGTTTGGCTATCATGTCAAAGTAATTTTTACCCAAACAATTCCAAATTATTACTTATTTGTTTATCGTATACATATATCAAGCTATCTGAATTTCTGTTAAAACTTGATTTAAAACTTAAATTATATGTACAGAAGCGTAACCTAAATTCGTGGATAAGCTTGATTCGTGGATCGCGGAAATTATCATGCTAGCTCGTAAATTAAGTCTCAACTGACGTCACAAAGCGGTACTTTTGATGTACATACAATGCCACACCTCACTGACAAAAAAGGTCCGAATCTCTGCATTACACGCAAGTATACTAAATATAATTATCCAGCATTTAATAGATAAATAACCCCAAATCACTAATACCACAATTACCAAATTTTATTTTCACAAAATGTCAAGTAAAAAAGATACCGTTAGCTCCAACATTCTCACTTCTAGTTGTCTGCTTTCCTTGGTGTCAATACTTACTGCAGTGGGATGTCGTAATCCCACGAAACGTGACGTCACATTTTGTGGGCACACGAATGGGTGATGATTGCAAATGGCTTCCGTTTCATTCACAAGTGCAATATTAGGCATTTTCAATTTGCTGAATTAATGAATACAATAATCAGTTCGTATACAAAATGAAAGGATGCATTTAAAGTATGAATTTCGCCGCATTTCCCTTATATCCACGAATCAAGGTTACGCGAGTGTAAATCAAAATATATGACAACAAAATATGACAGTTTCAATAAGTAAGTATGCAAATTCTTAATGAAAAGAATAAGAAATATTTAGAAAATCTTCTCTGATGTCAGCACTGGGAACATACATCATATTTCAAATTGTGTTCAAAACTGTAAACTGACAACACTTCATCCTTATGATTCAGTTATCAAGTGGCAAGTACAGAACTCTATGCTTGGTGTTTTCAATCAATCAAATAATGTATGGAGATAACAAACAAGATTTGCGCTATAACAGAACTGGTTTCTAGTTGACAGAACAAATTGTTTACCTGAAACATACGCTGTCCTCACACATTCAACATATGAGGATTCATGAACACACTGACAAAATTTAACAGCTCCTCAACATGGTCTAATTCTGCAGGCAGAGACACTTAGGCTTCCAAAACAGAGAATATAAACCAAACTGAAAACATATTTTCCATCTCAAGGTAATTTTATATATGTACTGATCAATATTGTTGAATAAACATTCAGTAAACCAACAACGTGAAGAAACAGAATATAACTCATCATAAATCTGATAAACACAATTCTTCTGCAGTTTACACACAAAGACAAAGGGATGAACATACTCAGAATGCTAGATCATATATTGATGAAGCTTCCTTGTGATCACAATATCCTGAACACTCCGCCATGATAATGTGCCTGTTTCACACACAACCTATATTCCAGCTTCTGTGATACACAGCCTTAGTCTAAGAGACAAGTAATACAATAAGAGATAGGGCGAGTAGGAGCTGTGTTTACATGTTATAAGGGAGCTGAGCAGGTGTTGTGTTGGCAGACGGTGGCTGCATCAGCAGCATCAGCAGCCAGCCCAGCAGTTGCTGCTCCAGGTAGTAGTACTCTGATCGTGTGTACACCACTCACAATGGAACTTCTAAGAATGGAAACACGTTTGGAACAGTTCCAGGTGACGCTGAACTTACCCTCATAACCTGACCCAACCAACTGACATGCATACAATTACAACCCATATTGCCATGCTTGGATTAATGTAGAAACCAGTAGCAGCCTGCCCTCACACACTTTTTAATGATGGTTAACACATGCAGCGAAGAAAATACCTCATACAGTAGCAAAATAAGGCACTATTGCCTA